GCATTTCCATATCTAAGTGTCTAAATTAAAGGATGTGGTTAATTTTAGGAGGCTTAAAGTCGCGTTTGTACTTTGGAGGCTGCGACCAGCTAGGCGGTGCTCGCGGCGATCTCATGCGAACAGGCGATGAGCTCCTCGTAAGTCCCCTGTTCCCCCACCACCCGGTCCGCCGAGTCCCTGAGAGCAGCAACAGGGAAACAAAAGAGAGTTCCCTCGTAAAACGCTGAGGTCTTTTGTGGGATTCTGCTGTGGCCGTCTCAGACTCACAGCAGCTGCGTGGCTCCCCAGCCCACGGCTTTGGAGGCAGAGATGAGTCCTTCTGTCCAGCGAGAGTTTTTGGCGTAAAACTCTCGAACCGACGCAGCTCCCTGCAGGAAGGAAAGGCCCCATGAGTTTCCACAGAAGCCTGTCGGGTTCACCAAATCAGGACTTTCGTAACCTTTCAACACGCAAATTGGATCCAGCTTCACGTCTTTCTGAGACTAAGACCCAGCAGAAACAAAGTGAAAGAACCTGAACAGTCACATACAGTATGCAAATGACTTGAAATCTGTCCCACTTTTGTCTTTAATTAGTAAGAAATTGAATGACGGGCAGATGTTACTGTGTTTGCAATAAAACACAAATATAAAAGCACATTATTAACATGGAAAATAGTTTATATAGTCATAAATTGCATCTTAATTTCCTCATAATATTAATAATTTGGCTTCGTCCTCTGATTATGAAGAAGCTTCTCTCCAATTCAAAGTGTGTTTTTAAGACATTTAAATAGAGACCAGAATTTCTGCTGTGGCTTGAACTTGTAAACCACGATCACACAAACTCACCCTGCCTCCCTCCACGATGTCTTTCTGTAGGTCGGTGGAGGCGGTCACCAGGATGTGGACAGCCTGAGGGGACGGAGGAGGCAACAGGATTAACACCCAGAGGAGTTAAAGAGATCCAACCAGCAGACTTCTTACCTTCATCAAGTCCGAGCAGGATCCCAGGATGCTGAAACAGACAGAAAAAGTTGGCCTGACTCTACACAGGGAAAGAGAAAAAATAAATGAATCGGATTAAGAGTAATTAGTTACCTCTGGTTGACTTCCAGCTTTACTCCCGTGGTGTCTTTCTTTGCCTGATTCAGAATCTCCTGTGAAACACAGATAAAGAAAAAACAATGTGTTAGTCCATCAGGATGGTAGGAATCATTTAAGGTTGTATTTCCCTTAGAATTAAACAGATACAACCTTAAATGTTCTAAACATGATATATGACACTACTTACTGAACAAAGACGGGGGGAAAAAGGTGTTAATTAGGGGTTTGCTTAAACTGAATTCCAGTGGATGCTCAGGTTTTGGAATTAGTCTTGAAAATTATTAATGAGTTAGAGAAATCAGTCATTTAGTTAATTAAAGAGATTTAAAGTTTTCTAAAGACTGAGGTGTGAATTGAAGTCTGTGTTTTTATTTTCATTTTTATGCTTCAGAAAAACGGATGTGTTTGTCCTCACGTCCATCCGCAGAACGGCCTCTTCGATGGCCGTCGATGTGGCGAGCATCTCTTTATCCACCATGTTTCCCAGCTCTTCTTTCTGCACATCCTGGCCCTTTGGACGCAGATCCTAAACAAGAGGACCAAGAAAGTGTCAATTTTAGCGATTTTTGTAATAATTTGACAAACATCCATGCTGGTCTGCTGATATTTGGGATCTACACACATCCTCTCTATCCTCATCCTTTAAGCTTTTAATGTTGAGCAAATTTACACTCAGGGCAATTTCCACAAAGTTTGACCCTCTGATTTTTATTCAACAACAACCTGATCATATTTGCCTCCTGAACGTTGTCATGGTGAGCTTATTGCATTCCTACAGCCAAAGGCAGAGACGTGCCCTAGCTGGAAACTCTTAACTCATTGACTGCCAGCCATTTTCAGAGCAGAGAGTCCCATACTGCCAGGGTTTTTTTGAGCATTTTGACTGATTTTTCAAGAGCCACAGAATAGTTTGTGCTATGACTATGTAAACACCGAACACACCAAAAGAAACCGTAGACTCTCTTCTTTCATCAGGGAAAAAATAGTTTCTACCTTATTCCATTCTTCCTCGACTTGCGTCTCACCGGCGACATGTTCTCTCATAGCGAACCGTTACCTTTTTCTTATTTGCCTACAGTCTATGCTCATCTCCCATCCAAAGTGGCACTGCCACCTAGAGGGTCAATTTGTTAGTACATACTCTGTCTAGAAGCCTGATATTTACGGACAAGCTTTAGCAGATCGTCCCCCAAGCCACTCGCGTTGAAAAACATAAAAGACGTCTATAGACGTCTTTGGCAGCCAATGAGTTCATTTGGACTAATTCAGGACGGTTCTGCCCACCTGTCCGATGGCGAGGAGGCGCTGAACCGTGTAGCGGACCGCAGAGGGGTCAGCCCTCTGCAAACTGGCCTGAAACTTCAAATCCTTCAAGAACTGGAGGCAGTGATTGGCACAATCCCGACAGCTGTCAGTCAGACCTGCACCACACAAAGGAACCAGAATCACGTCTGTGGAGGGAACAGCCTCGGGGGGGTAGGAGGGGGTCTTACCATCGGCCTGGTCGGTGGGAGCCGAGTGGGAGGTCGCCGCCCCGTTGACGATGGTGTCGGCGGCCAGGTGGGAAAACTGGGTGACGGCTCTCAGCAATAGTAATTGTGAAATCTGTGTTGTAATCGGCAGCATTCAAGCTA